AAAAAAAAAAAAAAAAAGATAGCAAGATAAGCAGAAGGTATTTTGAATAGAAAAAAAAACATGAACAAACCATAGCCAGTGCTACATACAAAAGGAACTATATCACAATGAATTTGGGTTTATTCTAGGAATTCATTGTTAGTTTAGCATTTGAAAACCTATCATTGTAATTTATGATATTTACAGAATATAGGAGAAAACAAATGTATGTGATCATTTCAGTTGACTCAGAAAATATATCTGATGAGTTAAGGTCCATTTGTTCAGAAGCCTTATTGAACTAGGGATAGAATAAATCTACCTTTATATAATAAAGGATATGTACGAAAAACATAGCAAACATCATGTAAATGGAGAAATGTTGTAAGTCTTTCTCCTGCACTGGAATGGATCAAGAACTCTGCTGGTTACACTTCTCTTCCACATTATAGGAGAGGTGCCAGCCAGTGAAATGAAACAAGGAAAAAAGAAAATAATAAGCATCTGAAGGGAAGAAGTGAAACTCATTTAAAGATTATGTACTTAACAAACCCAAGGAAATCTACAAACAAATCATTAAAAATTATCAAGTAATATGCTGAGTATAATGTCAATATACAAAACTTTACTGACTTTCTATGTTCTAAAAATTTTGTTAAAAAAAATATGACCAAGGCCTAGAATAGAAAACCAGAAAACATTTTTACGGAAATTATAAAATACTCTATCATTGAAGGTATACCATGCTCATGGACAGGGAAACTCACTCTTATGAGTATACCAGTTTCTTCAAATTGAACTAAAGTCAATACAAGTACACTTAAGTGCAAGCTCAGTTCCAGCAGACTATTTTGAAGATATTGCTAATTGAGTATAATGTATGTATAGAAATGCAGCAGGTTAAGAACAGTCAAGAACAACTGAAGAAAAAGAACAAAGTATTCAATACTTATAAAAATACATAGTCAAAGAATATAATTTTGGTCTAAAATTAACAATTATATCATTAGAACAGAATATGGAGTCTAGAATTGAGCTTAGCACAAATACTCAATTTACTGCAAAGGTAGCACTGCAGTATATATGGGAAAGGGTCTTTTTAAAAAGTGGTATTGAATGTCCAAATTGGGAAAAAAAATGAAGCCTGATAACCTTTACTCTGTATAAAAATATCCTATTTTTGGATGTTTTAGGACTTTACTCTGTATAAATGTCCTATATGTGAATTTTAGATCTAGTTATGAAAAGTGAAATAATAAACTTATAGAAGATAATACAGGAAAAGATCTCTATTTCTGGAGAAAAAGGAAATAAAAAGGACTGTCTGCAATGGAAAATATAAATAGCATTACATTAACACTAAAACTTTCGTTAATTGAAGGCACTATTAATCCATTGGGGTAAATATTCATAATACATATATATTTTTTAAAGATTTATTTATTTATTCATACAGAACTGGGGTACAGGCCAGAGATGCGGAAGGTGAGAGGATTCACCAGAGACAGAGCGGGGTGCAGAACAGGCAGAGTTACAAAGTACACTGCTGAGGGGAGCAGCAGGCGGGTCAGGAGAGGTCTGTCTCACCTTGTGGATCTCTTCCTGGGCAGGCGGGGATTGAACTCATTCAGAAGTGGCTTAAGCCTCCTTGTGCTGTGCTTTAACCTGCTGCGCCACCAGGGAGGGCCCATAATACATATATTTAATACAGAACTTAAACCTGAAGTAAATGAATACTGATAAATCAATAATGGTGTATACCAGTGTATGTGGGTGTCTTCTGAGCTGTACCAGTTGAGGACAGTTGATTGTCTTCATTTGCTCTGGTGATGGTGGGTGGGTGGGTATAGGAGGATTGGGAATCCCAAGGAGAAGCACCGCTGAGGAGTTAGACCAGGGCCTCCAATTCAGACAGGGTCATGGGCCTAGCGGCTGAAGCAGCCTTTGTCTCTTCCCAGGGTATGCTCCTGTCACTGGGATGTGCCACCCTGTCCGCAGCTGCACCCTCAACCACGAAGATGGCTTCTCCTCAGCTTTTGTGGTGGCCCATGAGACAGGCCATGTGTAAGTGGTGTCGGTGCCCTTGTCATCTGAGGAAGGTCACAGCTTGCAGGGGCCCCTGTGCCCTGAGAGGGCCGTCATCTGCACGAAGAACACTGTTGCTGATGTTCTGACCTCCCTGTGCAACATAGGACAGTCCCAACATAGGACAGTTCCTGATGAGGAAAATAGCTGGGGCCAAGCAGTGAGGAAATAGCTGGGGCCAAGCAGGAAGTGGGGGCCTTCCACAAATTATGTCCTTGAAGACCCTGAGCAAGTGTCTCCTTGACTCACTTTACAAATGAGTACCCAAGGCACTGAGGGAACTTTACTCATGAATACAGAGCCAGGGGTGGGTGGGTAGGAGGATGGGAGGGGTCACTGCTTGGCCTGTGTGTATGATCCTCATGAATCCCACCAGAATCTTGGAGCTGGACACAGGCCCCTAGGTCTGTTCTGAGAGAATGTGGCATGGGTGCCCCGAGAGTTGGGACTGCTTCACCCTGGGGTCAGGGTAGCTGAAGGCTCTTCTGCTGGATGCCATCTCCCTAGAGTGCCCCAGCTTTTTTTTTTTTTTTTTTTTTTTGTCTGATTCAGGCCAGACCAGAACATTTCAGGTCAGGGGGAGGCCCGCATGGGGAGGCTTGGGGTATCCTCCCAGCTTTTAAGTGGGCTAGAGTTGATACATCAGTATGGTCAAGTAAGCATCCAGAAAGGCTGCCTTGGCTCCCCACAGACTGGGCATGGAACACGATGGGCAGGGTAACCGTTGCGGCGACGAGGTACGACTGGGCAGCATCATGGCGCCCCTGGTACAGGCAGCCTTCCACCGCTTCCACTGGTCCCGCTGCAGCCAACAGGAGCTGAGTCGCTACTTGCAGTGAGTACACTTCACATTCCCTGAGGGCAGCCCCGTGGTTCTCAAGTCAGCTCCAAGAGGGTGCCTGTCCCACTGTGCTTGGGGTCCTGCAGGCTGAAGTGCAGGGGAATGAAAGAGAGAATTGCAGGTGGCATACCTGAGAGCTGAGTCTGGTGTCAGGGAGGGGCTGGGCCTTGAGTGGAATGTGGGCCACTGCACTCTTCATGGACTTTCAGGATCCTGGGGTATGGCAGATCAGGCCCTGGTAGCCTGTATCAAGGGAAACTGAGGTAGCACAGCTGAGGGTTGGGGTTTGCAGGAAGACCCACCACCACTGCTCCACAAAGGACTTTAGCTGCTTCATAGCCTGGAAGGCTAATCCCATTAAAAGCTGCCATGGCACCCTCTCCCCTCACAGCTCCTATGATTGCCTACGGGATGACCCTTTTGCCCACGACTGGCCAGCGCTGCCCCAGCTGCCAGGGCTGCACTACTCCATGAATGAGCAGTGTCGCTTTGACTTTGGCCTGGGCTACATGATGTGCACCGCGGTGAGTGTAGACACTGTGGCACCTGAGGGGGGTTGTGTGGGGAAACCTGCCTTGGGACCTGTCTGGCTTCTCCAGAGGAGGATGCGGGTTTTGGGACAGCTCCCCAAGGTGGGATAGGGCAGTACTCCAGAATGGCAGCTGGCAGCGTCTCTCCCCACACCCTCTGCTCAGAGTGGCACCAGGAGCCCTCTGCCAGTGCCAGCATGGACCTGCAAAGAAAGCATGCAGGTGGCAAGGGTATCAGCAAGGGACCATGGGGGTCTGGTAAGGTCCATGTGTTGCCTGCTTCCACCTGTCAGGAGGGCTTCCTGGAGCAAGAAGTAAGTGGGAGGAGAGGGCCTTTCAAAAGGCTTGAATCACATGTGCAAAGCCCTAGAGACATAAGGGAACATAGTAGAAAGAAGAGCAAGCAGTTTTGTTCCCTGATTGAAGTGCAAGGTCAGAGCCATCAGCAGAAGCTTCAGTCATCAGAATTATTGTATCCCCTTCCTATGTGGGGAGCCAAGGCAGCCTTGCTGGGCCTTCACATGGCCTCAGGTTGGCCACTGACTCATGGCAAAAGATTTAGCATCTATCAGTGTCTGACTTGATGTGTATCTCAATTATATGACGGAAGTAAGAAAAGAGTTCCCATTTTGCAGACGAGGAAACTGAAACCAGAGAGGTTAGGTAACGTTTCAAGCCACGCAGCAAGCACTCTCCAGTGCAGGTGGGCTAGCTTGCTACATGACCGTCAACGGAGGGCAGCAGGCTCTATTCCTATGGTGATGAGGGAAGGAGTGGTTGTAACTGTATTTCAGCTGGATTCTTCTACCACTCCTGGAAGAAGGGTTATCAGAATAGGAAGCAGAAAGGCCAGCGAAGAGTTGTCTGTGAGCCAGAGGACAGCGAGCAAGCTGGAGTGAGGGCAGGCCCATGGGGCACAGGAGAGGCCTTTAGGACATTACAGGTGGTGTTCACCGCAGGCCCTGCAGTGATAGCCACTCTCAACTGCTGCTGTCTTAACCAGAGGGATGCCCTTCCATTCCTCATTATAGGCACTCTGCTTCCTGGCTGCTGAGGGTCACGGTGCTGAGCTTGAGGCCCAGCAGCCCACAGATGTGCAAAGCACCCTCACTACAGGGGAGGTTTTTACAGCCCCAGAGTCATAGGGAGCTCAGTGCTCCCACCAGCCACACAGGCCCATCACAGGCCACCAAGCCATGCCTGACTCCACAGCTGTCCAAGAGACCCTGGGGAGAGGGAAACAGCTCCGAGTAACTCCAGCAGTGAGAGACAGCCTGGTAAGCTTTGGGTGCTCTCTTTCAGTTCCGGACCTTTGACCCCTGCAAGCAGCTCTGGTGCAGCCACCCTGACAACCCCTACTTTTGTAAGACCAAGAAGGGCCCCCCCTTAGATGGGACCATGTGTGCATCTGGAAAGGTGAGTGGGACCAGAAAGCATGCACTGTGAAATACAGATCTCCAAGGACAGACTGCAATGCCCCAGCTGGGACTGGGGGCCTTCTGGGGGACACCTGCCTTCTTTGTAATTCCCTACATTTGACACAAGTTGCAGCCCTGTGCTCCCAACTCATGACAGAGCAAATTTGGTGTCTTAAAGTTCTTCACTGCACATGAGGTGCCCCATTCTCTTCTTAAAAGAAATTCCCTTCTGAAAAATACCAGATGGTTTCACTCAAAGCAGGAGTATAAAGGACCAGGGGAGAAAATAATAATAATAATGAACAACTATATACCAGAGACATTTTAGGGGGGTGGGGTGGGGGATGGGATAAAAATGGGGGGCTGGGGAAGTGCCCTGGACTATGGTGATGGCACACAGGTGATTAGGTGATGGGAAGCCCATGGGCATTACAACTGAGATGGAAAAATGTACAAAATGATGTAAAAGTAAACTATTTTTTAAACTATATATTTTTTTAATTAAAAAAGAAACTCCCTTCTTTTAAGAGAAATTTTGGTATTCCTTTTGGCTTGCATACAAGTGACTCACCTCACACTGAGGCCAGCATTGACGTCTAGTGGCCCCTTTGTTCCCAGGACCCCACTGTTTGCCACAGTTGCACAGACTTGTCCATTGAGGTGGCTCAGTGGCTGGTTGCCCCTTCCAGTGTTCCAGGTCTGATTTTCATTGGCTTAGATGACGTCACCCACCTACTCTTCAGCCAATGACTTGCTAGAGTTCTGGCTTATGCAGATGAGCCTAAGCCTAAGTCACTGTGCAGAAGGTGCTGATGACCACTCAGACCACCACCCAGCATTTGACATTTGGAGTAGAATGGACTCCAGCCCACTCCAATGTCGGGTGCAGAGAGGCCCCAGCTCATCTAGGTCTCTAGTGCCTTAACCTCATGTCTTAAATTCTACCTGATATTAGTCTCTGATGGAGTCTCTTAAAGATACAAATCCCAGGTCCACCCTTGCGATTATTGATGTGGGGTAAGGACTAGGAATTATCTGGGCCTTTTTTTTTATTATGTTAAATTTCATACCACATAAAATGCAGCATTTTAACCACTTAGAAATGTGTGACCAGTGCATTCACAATGCTAGGCAACCATTCCCACTGTCTAGCTTCATAACTTTTTTGCCACCCCAAAAAGGAGACCCCTTTAAGCACTAGTTTCCCATATCCCTTCTTTCTCCATTCCTCAACCACCACTAATCTGCTCTCATGCTCTATTGATTTGCTTGTTCTGAAATCTCATATAAATGGAGTCACATGCTATGTAACCCTTTATGACTGACTTCTTTCACTTAATGTTTTCAAGTTTCATCTATGTTGTGCCATGTCTCAGTGCTTGCTTCCTTTTTGTGGCTGAATAATAGTCCACGGCATGGACATGCTACATCTTGTTTATACATTCAGCTCTCATCTAGGGCTTTGTGATTGCCTTTCACCCCATAGGAACCATGACCAGTGGGAGAACTGGGCCCCAAAATGCCCATACCCAGACTGGCACCCTTTTCCTTTGTGGGATGCTTGGGTCTGGCAAGAAAATTTGAATTTTCATAAAGCCAGTAGATCAGGAGAATATTCGCTGAAAAGATAATTGTGGACCTCTAGTGAGTCTGGGACGTGGGGCGCACCTGTGAAGGACGAACCGGAGGGATGACTGCTGTGTCCAGCATGCAGTGAGTCTTTATTTTGTGCCGTGCTTTTTATATACTCCACATTAACCAGCTGAAACAACATATTGATTTAATCTATCTATCTAGACATTCTCAAGTAGTAACAATAGAATATTGACGAACTCTAATTCTATATCTGGTGTTCTAATTTTTGGAACACCCAGATGGCCAAGCCATCTCACACACCCGAACACTTCTCCCGATAAGCTCTTTTGCTGTCTTTCTCAGACGTGACTGCCTGCTCGCATGACCTATCTTCTCACATTTTTGGAGCCCAGACCCGGCCCTCAGAGCGTCCCCCAAGGAGCTTTCACCTACCTCTTGGTATCCAAGTCCAGGTGCCAGTCAAGGTCATGCACGAGCTCTGCCCTTTTCTTTTTGTTAATTTCATTAGCCATCGAGAGATGTTGAAGTCTCTGCCACTCTGGCCTCAGAGACAGGCGTATCCTTAGAACAGAGCAAATTAAAACAGCAGCAAGTCCACTACCAATACTATGCGTAAGAGTCTGAACCAATGAATGAGGATCCATACCCTGTAGTGCATCAGCAATATTTTGAGCCAGATTATCCAATGATGACTGGGGCAGTTGTGAAAAATATTTTATCACCCGATCTTGTAATGCTTGTACATTTAAGGACTTTACCTTGCACACAATTGAGGTGATATTAAATAGGGGACCATTCGGTGGATACATTATGAAACTAAACAGGAGTTACACATTATAAGCTTACATTCCAATCACAGTGAAGCATAATTTGTTTTTGTAATTTTACAAATTGATCACCCAGCAATTGAACAGCCTGTTGGAATTGTCCAACTTTTTTTTTTCCCCCTATTTTTCATTAAGGCCTACTTGTTGCTGCCATAAAAGGCAAGAATTATGGGACCGATTTGATACAAAGTCATGAGTCTGTAAGACAGTATAGAGAGCTTGTCCTGCCACTGCTGCAGTGGTTGTTATGGTGATTGATCCTAGTATAGCAACAATTAGCCATGCAATACAGTATTTTGTGTGATGCATCAGGTGTCCAACAACCTGAAATAAAGTTCCAGCAGCAGGGGAGTCCTTGGAAGATTGACGGGTATGTAAAACAATAGATTGACAAAAGTAGTTAACATATATAGAAGAATTAAGATAAAAATTAAGACAAGAGGCCCTCCCTGGTGGCGCAGCGGGTTAAAGCACTGCACTGAGAAGCTAACGCCACTTCCGCATGAGTTCAAATCCCGCCTGCCCCGGAGGAGACCACATGGCGAGGCAGACCTCTCCTGACCCACCCGCTGCTCCCCTCAGCAGTGTACTTCGTTGATCTGCCTGTTCTGCTCCCCGCTCTGTCTCTGGTGAAACCTCTCACCGCCCCTGAGCCTCTGGCCTGTACCCCAGTTCTGTATGTACAAATAAATAAATCTTAAAAAAAAAAAAATTAAGACAAGAATATAAATGACAATATATATTAAAATAACAGGAACAAGTAAAAATATTTAAAAACTGGTTTAACTTATATATATAACAAGCTTTTAAACCTTTTTTTGGACCCCAAAAACAAAGCAATAGGTTTTTTTCTCTTTGCTTTAGCTCTATTAGAAATATATAGAGAAGCCCTCCCTGGTGGAGCAAGGGGTTAGGATACAGCACTGCAAGTGAGCGACAGCCGCCTCTGTGCGAGTTTGATCCCGCCTGGGAGGGGATCATGGTGCGGCAGACCCTCAGCAGTGCACTTCATCTGTCTGCCAGTTCTGCTCTCTACTCTGTCTCTGTCTCTGGTGTACCCTCTCACTGACCCTGCACCTCTGACCTGTACCCCAGTTCTATAATGCATAAATAAATAAATCTTAAAAAAAAATTTTTTAAAGAAATTTTTGCAGAATTTCAAGGAAAGCCACTGAAACACAATTAATTTTTTTTTAGTTTAAACAGACTAAAAATTTTTTTGAAGTTATGTAAAAACAGACCCATGAGTAGTAAAAATTACTACTACAATTTTTATATTGTGATGGCATCAAGGGAAGAGAAGAAATGGAAACACAAATTAGTTTTGTTGAAAAAAATTATAACATTATTATAGATTGTCATTTAAAACAAGAAAACCTTTTTTGAATCAAACAAACAACAAAAAAGCCAGTATTATTTTAAACAAAACTTAGAAAAAAATAGTCTCTTTAGCTTTTTTGTAGAAAATATTTTTTCACTGTCAAAAGTTTAATTAGGGCCCTCCCTGGTGGTGCAGCGGGTTAAAGCCCAGCACTAAGAAGCTAAAGCCACTTCAGCATGAGTTCAGTCCAGCCATAGGACGTGATCCACATGGCACTACAGACCTCTCCTGACCCACCCTCTACTCCCCTCAGCAGTGTACTTCATCAGTAGGCGGGTGCTGCTCCCCACTCTGTCTCTGGTGAGTCCTCTTACCACCCCTGCACCTCTGGCCTATACCCCAGTTTGGTATACAAAAATAAATAAATCTTTTTTAAAAAGTTTAATTAGTTGGGCTCAGTTGAGGTATTTTACTGGAAACAAAAAAAAACCTTTTTTCTTTTTTTTTAGAAACAATTTTTTTTAAATACCAAACAATTAAATATAATATTGTAGGACAATGATCAACATTATTTACAATTTACATACATGTCAAATACATATATATTTTAAAAATAAGGTTTTTAATACATGTTTTAGAAAAACAATGTTAACAGTTGTGTTTATGCCAAAGGTTTACCGTTTTCCCAAGTGACAGTGCTTTTCTTTTTTTCTTTTTTCTCTTTTACTTTACTACATATACCAAGTTGGACAAATTGATCTGAATGGCTTTCCCAGAAAGAAAGGGAGAAATTATGTGGAGTGTCTCAGGAGCTCTACCGAGGTTCCACAAAATTTCTTTTGATGGACCAAATGATAAACTATCAAATTGTATTTTAATTCAGAATTTTGGGAAGCTTTGTCATAAATATGAAAAAAAAATAGCAGTAATGACAATCTCAATTTTGGGGAAAATTCTGGCTTTTTTTAGTGAGACAATGTTGACAGTCACACCATAGCCTTTTAGTTAGTTTGTTTGTTTATTATAACTGGAGACTCTCTTTTTAAAAAAAAAAAAAACTTATTTTAAACTTTTATTTGTCTGACATTATCAACTCAAGTAAGAGAAAAAAATTATACCAATACAACCTGTTTAAAAACAAATTAGTTACCATGAACATTACATTTTTGTTTGTTACAATATCCATAGGCACCATCTAAACCAATTTAGAACATCTTGAGGCCAAGACAATTAAACACAAGGAAAAGATATACA